TTTTTGTCACTATCAATATTGTTGTCATTGTCACTATCATCTTTGCCATCATTTTCCACATCACATCACACATTCAAGTATTTTTAACCCAGACACCATCACATATAATACATCTTCTCCCCCCCCTCCCCCAGAACCCTCCCCACTATGGGTTGTAATAATCCAGAGCTTTACAAAGCAACGATCTTGAAGGTCATCGTGGCAGGACTCACAGACCCCAAGACATCCCAGTCTGTTGTTTTCGGTATACCTCTCTTGGTGGAAGCTAATGGTGCTCTGCTTGTGCCCAGAAGTGGTAGAGAGAAGAAGGGAGGAGATGAGAAAAAAGTAGTTGAGAAGGAAGAACAAGCAAGAACAGACAAGGTGATAACACCTGACCTTCACCCTGTGGTGTTTGGTGCACTGCTGCATGGCATTACGCAGCTGTGGCAAGATTTCTTGTAAGTAGTTATTTATGGTTCCGTTTCATAAAGTAGGTTTAGTTTTTAGTTATAGCTTATAATAGAATCCTCAGATAAATGGAGGTTGTGGTATTTAAGTTTGTTGATTTGTGCTTTTCAGTGGTAAGGCAGCCCATTTGCTTATTTCACATTATGGGCATGTGATGTAAGATGTGTTAAAGAACAATGCTATAATTGTCTGATTTTATGTAAAGCATTTACAACCAGAGTTTGGAGTTTATTAAAGTGAATTGGCTATTGTGTGATATATAATTTCCAAAATATAAATTTTTATTACATGGTAAAATTATTTCATTATGGAATTTTGTTTCACATGTAAGTAAATAACAATTATTACACAATTATTTTTCTTTGGCACTGTTTGATATTTAGTTTGAACTTTTTACCTCTGCTGAGGAGGTTATGTTTTTGTTTGCATTGAATTGTTTGTTTGTTAGCAGGATAACTCAAAATGTTATCAACAGAATTTTCAGAAATGTTTGCCAGAGGTGTGTCTTAGCTTAACTTAGATTTCATTAAATTTTGGTGGTGATGCGGATCATGATCTGGATCCAGGAATTTTTTGAATGATTGCATTACTACCTCTATTACCTTACCTCCAACAAGGAAGTTATGTTTTTGGATGTCACCTGTGTACTTGAGAAACTCTTTACATGTGAATATTTTTATTGCATCAGTGACATTATTGCCTTGGCAAGGGGTATGTGCTCTCTGAGTGCTTCTAGTTTAAAAGGAACTCAGTATTCTGAAGTTTAGACTGCAGTTTTGTATTTTCTTCCAGAATTAATTCAAAGATACATGTTAAAGTACTGCTCATATATTTGATTAAATGTATGATCTTTCAGAATAGCATCATCAGCTGCTGAAGCAAGCACAGTCCTACAGCATCTGCAACAGCTAGTAAAGAGTAGCACCATGTATGTACAACAGCACTTTAGCAATGATGCTGGTGATATGCCTCAAGAGCTGCACTCACTGAAAAATGCAGTATTTGAGGTAATTCAGCATCCCTCCTGTCCACTGGACCTAAGAACTAATTGTGGACAGTTGGTGGCCACCATCACAAAGACTTTACATAATGGAAATCTCCAACAGGTACTACAAAGTTACCGTTTTGATGAAGAACAATCTGAACTCCCAACTTTGGCTCAGTTAGCTCTTCTTAATGGCATTTTGTCTATCTCACAAGGAAGAGACTTATATGTGCAGCAGGTGTGTGGCACTTGCTTGGGTACAGATGTTTTACAAGCAGTGTTAAAACCTGGCATGCAGTCCAATGATGGAAACATTGCTATTAGTGTGATCAGAGTTGTCCACCAATGGACCCTACGGACACTAGAAGCATTCCGTTTTCCGGGTGAATTAGATATGTTAAGAAAAGTTTTAGACCCAAGTTCCACACTTATGGTCCGCCTCCTTGAGTATATGTGGCTAGCATGGGATCATTTCTTGGACAGTGTCAAGAATGCTACTAAGGACAGTTTTGTTAATTACATGAAGATACAACAGACCCTCTCTGTTGAAGTAAGTGGACAGCACTTCCTGGGTGTTTGTAAAGTATTGCTGGAAGATTTATGCTCCAGGAAATTCAGATTCAGTGCAGTAAGCTGTATGGTTCCTGTAGTTGGTGCTCAGAATTTACTACTATCCTATCCTCAACTTCCTCATACACTGTTAAACCAACTGAGGGACCCAGCAGTTGCCAGTCACTCAGCAGAGCTTTTAGAGGCTCTCTTCACTCAGCACCAGAAAGAGGTGTCAGTGGATGAGTGGCAGGATTTGTGGCTCTCGACATTCCTGGACTTGTTTTCAAAAGAGATGCAGACATATGGTTACGAACTACTTTTCAAGAAGTTGTTGTTCACGTGTCCTGAAGCTCTAAGTGTTGCTGTGAAAAAACTTGTTGAGTTGGCAAAAAATCCTGTGAGTGAGAAATTGTGTCTGCTTATCATGTGTGTCAAAATAGGTAGATGTTCACCCATTTGGTTAAAGAAGTGTCAGCAAAATAAAATAGAAAGTGATGAACAAATGTGGAAATCTATTTTACCATATGAAACAATCAAGCTTTGTCTTTGGCATACAGATGAGTCTGTCAGAACTGCAGCATTTAGCCTGTTGTGTGAAAGTCCAAAGTCAACAGAATTACCAGAGAAAGAAGAATTAGAGTTTATATATGATTATTATTTGTACAATCTCACAGCTCAGAGTCCAGCTTACAGGCAGCACTTACTCAAGAGTACGAAGAAGCTATTCCTCAGAATTAAAGAAGGGACAATGGCTTTAACAAAATCGTCCAAGAGTAAAGGTGATAGAGAACATGGGAAAGACATCCTGAGACTACAGAAAGAGTTCTCTTCAAAGTTGTTCTGGCAGATGGTGAAAAATCTTTATAATGGGGCAAACAGCATGCGGAGAACTATGTCATTACAGGTGCTAGAGCTTTTTCAGACTATATTAAGTGGTTGCTACAATGATCTAGAGATAACAAAATTGTGCCAGAGCAAAGTTTATACTGACACGCTCATCAGTGTCCTTGATGACTCATATGAAACTAACAAAGTCATTGCTCTGATGTTATTACAAAGCACACCTAAGACATGTGAAGATCCTGAAGACACTCAGAGAATTCATGCACTGATCAAAGCAGCTTGCACATTGGCTTCAACGTGTAGGCCTCCAGACACTATAACTGCTGGATTTTTGTTCAAGTACTTATCTAGCCATCCTGTGGCAATAAGCATAGTGAGAGACAACATAAAAGATAGTACTTCAACAGAAGATGCAATAGCATTATTTTGTATATTTGTTTTACAATTTCTACAAAAGGAAGTTCAAACTGCAAAGGAAAATCTCCTAAAAGCAGCTTCATCAGGACCCATGTATGGACTACTACTATGTGTTAGGATGTTGTTGTCTGACATTCCAGAAACTGATATAACAAAGGACCACCACACATGGCAAGAAATTCTAAAGATAGTGTTACAGCTCTGTTACCAGGTGTCAGAACTGGTGGCTCCTGTTGTAAGAAATTCCTCTCCCGAAGGTCATTTGCCAATGGACCTAAATCCTGAGAGTCTTGAAGTGCTAAGAGCCACATTACAGCAATCCCTAGGAAACCACCACAATGAACAGGATGTTGTGCTGTCAGCAGAAGCGACACCACAAGAATTAGTAAAGGCACAAGCTGTGAGTGCACAAATGTTATTGCTGTGTGCCTGGAGGTGTGTAAAAGAAATTTCTCTTATACTGGGAGATGTTGTGCAAAAAATGCCCCTATCCCCTAGAACAGATGCATTATTAACAAATGAAGATGTAGTAATGATTGGACAGTACTTCATAACTCAGTTGCTTGAGACCAAGCATAGGGGGGCTTTTGAACAGTCTTATGTAGGCTTTGGCAGAGTTTGTGAAAGATTATGGAGCTGTGAAGAGGAAGAACTAAGGAAATTGCCAACATCTTGGGTAGAAGATCTGCTGGCTACAATACAGGATGAAAGTGACACTCGTCTGTGTGCCACGCGCCGAAGTGCAGGAGTGCCATTTATAGTACAGGCAGTGTTATCTTCTGAGCCTAAGATGATGGGAGCCTCATGCTTAAAAACCACAATGAACACTCTCTTGCAATTGGCAGAAGAGACTCATTACTGTGGCTCAGAAGCCAGAATTCATTCATTTAATATTCTCAGAGCAGTATACAGAGACACTAGATTAGGGGACTTAATAATTCCTTATGTATCTCAGGGAGTAAAAGCAGCTATTGAAGGATACAGGGGCAACTCATGGGCAGAAAGAAACTCGGCTGCACTCTTGTTTGCTGCATTGATTACTCGTATGTTAGGTGTAAAACGGACACAGGACGATCTTAGTCGGAAAAATGCCATGTCTGCTCAGGTTTTCTTCAAGCGATATCCAGATCTGTATGATTTCTTGAAAATTGAGCTAGAAAATGGAGCTGCCGGTGTTAAAGAGGGCAAGCTTGTACCAGCTTTGTTTCCTGTGCTCTTGCTTCTTGCTAGACTCGCACCTGCTCCTCTTGAAGGTCGTATGTCTGCCATCTCTCTTGCGTCCTTCACTCCAGCTGTATTGCAGTGCTCTGCATCATCTGTGCTACAATTGCGTGCTCTAGCTTCCCATGCTCTCGTTCCTCTGGTTAATCCTCACCAACTTGAAGGAGTGATAGAGCAAATATCTGCCAGTGCATCATTATCAAATCAAAATTCTCTCCATGGCTGCTTGTTATGTCTTCTTAAATTGGTGAAGAACTTTGAAGAGACAATCTGCAATCTAACCAATAACATGTTGATAATGAAAAGTTTATTGACTGTGATATGGTCAGCCAGTCAAAAGAACCCTTGCTTGGTAACACGTGCATCTGCTCTTGAACTTTACACATTCCTGGCCCAGAGGAAGTTACTACAAGAATCTACACCAGAAGTTGTTGGAGTTGTTTCAGATGCATGTACAGTCATAAAGACAAATGATCTAGTTTTACAAAGTATGCCTTGGTCAGCTTTATGTCAGAAACAGGCAACAAGGTTTTTACTGACCACTGCTTATAATTTACAGGAGGAACAGGACATTACTATAAATACACTGATCAGTCATAGTTGCTATGAGGTGAGACTTTCTACCCTGGAGCACATAGAAGGAATGACACACCTTGATGTGCCCATTCTTATGCACCTTCTGAGGTGCATCCACACAGAAGATCATCCAGAGTGTCTCTCACTAGTCTACAGCATCCTAAGTAAGCAACTCTCATCCCTAAATTATGGAAAAGAAATGATTGGGCAAGACCAGTTAGTGGAACTTTTATATCACATCATCTCCATTGCTAAAGAGGAAACGTGCTTAGAACTTATGAAAAGGATGATTCAACTGAGTTCTGTGTTAATGATTACATTGCTGTCAAAGGTAAGTATGTTTTTTACACATGCTTTCTGTGATATTTCATATAGGGATTATTACTGAATATATATATTTTTTTACAAGGGTTACCTTTATTACCATTATTTATTTACCTACTCAGCAGGAAACTTCTGTTGCAACAGAGAAAGCCATTCATCGGTGGTTAGAAATGATTTTGAGTTTCTCACTGAGTGAAAATGATACAGACACTCGCCAAACCACAGCACAAGCTGTGTGTGACATTCTTCCTCATCTGGTTTCACATCCTTGTATAACAGGTAGGGGACTGACTGTAATTTTGGCAAATAGATTGGATAACTTGTTTGTAACATACATTTTCAGTGTATCTATTTCATTATACTGTGGTAAACCTTCCTGAAAACTCTCAATTGCTTTGAATATAGCACAGATTTATGACCTATTTTATGTTTCCTTTTGAAAGACAAAACCAGGTTGGTGGTGTATGAGGTCATAACAACAGAGCTACAGGATGACAGTGACTGTGTTCGTGATATAGTGTCATATGGAGTGTCTGGTTTGTTGAAACATCATCATCATGGAAGACAACAATTCTGTCTGCAGCCTACAAGGGTCATGGAGAAAGTGTGTGGACTAATTGGTAAGGGTGTAGAAAAGATTCTTCATTCAAATTATAAAAGTAACTGTAATTCAATATAGAAGCTGAAGGAAATGCAATGTCCATGTTTTATCATACCTATTAATATAACTGTTGACATAATTATTTCAAGAATGATTTTATTCCAGCATCTTGTACATGGCCAGAGGCTTCATCATTATTAGTGAAACTTTCCCTGAAAGAGGACATGCCTGAGGGTTTTGGACTGGCACAGGTAGGGTTATGTGTTGAAGCTTTTCATATCATGATGCCTTTTTATGGTTAATGTTTAGTAAAAACAAGAAAAGAAAAAAGACAAATGTAATTATCATTTCAGATTCCCAAGTCCTTGCTGAATTGTTTAATTTATTTCAGGAGGATGATCGTGTCTTTGACAAAGGAGAGATGAACATCTACAGTGAAAAGATTATTGTCTCGCAAGCAATGTTAAAAGGGCTCTCAGATGCCCTTACATTGAATTCATTTGCTTCTGCCTCAACCCTAACCTTCCTAAAGAGTCATGTTGTTCCATTTTTATGCGCACCAACAGTCAGGCAAGACAAGATACCTGAAGATGTATGGCAAATCATAAACCAGAAGGAGGATCAGTTACTTTCACTGAATCAGTTGCTCTCTCTGTTAGAGTATGATATTTTCTACATATATGAGCAAATCATGTCTCTCAAAGATACAGCATTATTTTGTGTGAGACATGTGGATCTCTGGCTTATGAGGCTGAGCTGTCGGTCTGCTATCTGGGCACGATTCAGTCCTTTAATTGATAGGGAATCAAGCCTTGTGAAGTCAGTGGTTGAGGGACTAAACCAGAGTGTATTGAAAAATAGTTTCCTTTGTCAGATCATTGAAGAGTTGTCTTCTGTAAGATAAAACTGGTGTGAAGCTCAAGGGAGAAAATGCTTTTTGAAAGCAGTAAAAAGCAAAATTTGGAGGAAGATTTATGAGCGGAAAAGAAATGGTTAACTTTTTTGTGTATGTCTGTCTCAAATTGACTGTTATTATTTTTGTAAGCATATGTCAGTTTAGTATATTTTCCTGAGAAGATAGGGATGAATTATTTTATTGTAAATAATGTGATGAAATTTTAATTTTTAGAATATGTCTTAGAAGACATTATTTGTGCAATAAGTGATGTTATTGTGATTAATTTAAATTATATTTTTCTTGTGTCCACTGACCAAAGTTAATTGAAAAAATACATAATCTAGATATCAGTTGATTATTCTCAGTGTTGTTTTGTCATTAAATTTTCTTGATATGTTTATGAATTATAAAACCTTTACACTGTGGAAATCTGATGTATATGTGTAAATGAGTTTATGAAGCACAAGATAACCTGAACTGTAAAAGTAGAAAGAAAGAAAATTAATTGTTAACACGCTTATACTGTATGATGACTTTTTTAATTGTTATATTTTTGTGGAAGATATTTTCTCATTTAACTTATTTTTGTAGTAACTTATGCAATAGTGTTTGATATTTCTGAAAAGTTGTAATGAAGATTGACTTCATTATAATGATCATATAAATTGGGATTCCTGGATTTTTCTTTGATAAATTTCAATACCTTTGGGAAAAAAGAAAGTTAAAAAAACACTACTATAATATATAAAGAAAGAGAAAGAGGCAGACAGACACAGACAGACAGACAGACAGACAGACAGACAGACAGACAGACAGACAGACAAACAAACAATAGCCACAGACAGACAGACGGACAGAGACAAACAAACAATAAAAAACAGACAGACAGCGCCACCGCCAGTCCAACGGTGGAATACAAAACGAATGGAAAGGCGTGCTGCCTCAGTCCAATACAAAAGTTTAGGGCGATCGCAGTCGGATAAGTGCGAAGTCGATATGAAGATTTATACAGAACTCGCCTTGGATGTGTACAGCCATATTTCCGCAAAGGACGCGTTAAGCAAATGCGAGATTAATAGAATGTATTCATTGTCGGTAGCCTTAAGTGCAACTTTTGTCCCTGTTGATAATTTTCGTCGATTATATCCCCTTTTTAAGGAGGAATATTATCTCCCCTTTCCACACTTTAAGATGTAGATTTTTTTGCGCTTTTAGCGTATTCGCTATAAATTTCTGTAAAGATTATGTTTGAATATGCTTCAGCTTCTCAGCCTCGGAATCTAAGGTCCATTTTTATCTTCCATATAACTGTATAATACAATTGGCATTATGCCTCTTTAATTTTGTTGATCTTGGCCTGCCGCATGAGCGTAAGTTTCGTCACTGCCCAAGTAAGATTTAAAATCACAAAATATATATTGTATAGAATTATGTTAGTAGATTCATTTTTATTCTTAAGAATGAAAGACTACCAAAATTATAGGAAAATGTATTTTGAACTATTTCTTATCCAGTGTGGAAGCAGAAATCCTTTATTGGGCTAAAAGATTGTATGTAGAAAAGTACGTTCAACAAGGTACATCAAATTGATAACCCACATTTTTAATACGCAGAAAATTGATGTGAAAATCTTTTACCTGTAAAGTTTTTAAAAACAATACCTACAACATAACATATACTTACAGTAACAAACTATTATTACATTACCATTATTAACACTAGCTTACTGCTACTGTTAACCAAACTAGCTACTGCTGCAACTGCTGCCTGAAGAAATGTAAGTAGAAATGAAGGATGGAAACCACATTCAAACAGGATAATCCATTCACAGCATTAAAGCTCACAAATAATAATACTTATGGTGCAACTGAAAGAGAAATTCGAAAACTCTCAGAGCGCGCGAAATTCAAACAAGTCGTGTGTACCTAAATACTATAAAAGTCTGATATATCGTCTTCGAGTCGGGGAGAAGAAGAAAAGCCACCCACATGGGGCGTCAAACTGCACAATGGACAGAGTATAAGTTACAGAATTTGACGTGTAGT